CCGCGCACCGCACGCGCCCGTTCGACCCCGAGTCACGGTCCGACACGCTCAGCAGCGCCACCACCGTCCCCAGCGGCGCGTCCTCGGACACCGGCACCGAGAGCGACGTCACCCACACCTCTGGCGCGTTGTCGTTCACATCCAACACCTCCACCTCCACGCTGCAATGTCCCAATAATGGTAGGGCCCCCCAGTCTTTTGCTTCAATCTCCAGGTCATAGAATTCTATGTCCTCAAAATCCAGCGTCTCTACAGTACTTACTTCCCCTGATTTGGGGTCTATTCTGAACAAATCCTTCACCCTCGCAGCAGTGGTGTCGCTAAAGGCGTACGACACTTGCTGATTAACGCCCTCGTCCTTGTCTGTCGCTGTTAGCTGGAGAATCACCTTTCCCGGGGGCGTATTTTCAGGTAACTGTACTTTGTAGACCGTCTGGTTGAATTCGGGCGCGTTGTCGTTCGCATCAAGTACCGAGATCACCAGCTCCATTGTGCCCGATAGCGACGGTCTGCCCCCGTCACTCGCCGTCAGCAGCAAACGGTGCTCAGCAATCGCCTCCCGGTCCAGCGACTTCATTAATACAAGCGCTACAGATGTTTTTTTTCCGTCTTTGGATTTCAGTTCCAGAGCGAAATGCTCGCTGGGGCTGAGTTTGTAGGAGAGCTGCGCGTTCGCTCCGATATCCGCGTCCGACGCGCCCTCCAGAGGGAAACGCGAACCCGGCAGACTTGATTCTGCTACACTGATGTTTTTTCGTGGAACGGGAAAACGCGGAGCGTTGTCGTTGATGTCGGTGACCTCCAGCTCCACGTGAAAGACGCGCAGCGGCCGCTCCACCAGCACCTCCAGGCGCAGCGTGCACGGCGCGCTCTTGCCGCACAGCTCCTCCCGGTCCAGCCGCGAGCTCACCACCAGCGCCCCGCTCGCCCCGCTCACCTCCACGCTCGCCGGACGACCCTTCGCCACCAGACGCAGCCGACGCGCCCCCACCTCGCCCGCCTCCACACCCAGGGCCTGCGCCCGCCGGCCCACCA